AATGAGCCTGAAATAACCATTTGCACCCTTGGCAAATCCTGAAAAAAATATAATTTACACATTAGAAGTGAGTTACTTTGTGTTTAAATGTATGCTATTTTTCTATATCCCCAAATGTCTCTTAGCCAAACTAGAAACTGTTCTAGAAGTTAAATAATGAAAATATTTGCATGAGTTATTTTTTCTTCTAAAAGACAGTTATTGGCTCCTGAGATTTAAGTTATCATTATCCTTCTTTTCCCAGTGGACACCCATTGACATGCATTGGTGGTAAGCAATGAATGATTATTCTTTAAAATGAGAGATGCATAAACATGCAGAGTAATTTCACCTGAATGTGCATTTGTATGAACTCTGCAAACTTCCCCATCATCCTGGTTTTTCTCCTGACATTGAAAGGCAAAGGGCATCAGCTACAGCTACAGAGTATCCTCAAATATTTTGATGATCACAAAGAGACTGAACAAAATGTATATGTACTTCAACTTGACCAAATAGGTAATGTAGGCTATCATAGCATTTACTATATATACACCAGGTAGCAGGCACCACAGGGTGCAGGTAGATAACAAATATTTTTTAAGGTTTGTTCTCTGAGTGTCTTGGCCCAAAGCTGTATCTGAACAGTAAATTTAGACTACGAGTCAAAGTTAAGAATTCAACAATATGGAAATTCAACAATATGGAAATGTGAGATCTCTCAATACGTTACTGAGGTATACACATTGCATTGTGGGATGTTGAAGGGCAAAGACCACTTGCTATCCATACTGCATGGACTAAAATGAGCATGTAACCTCTGTAGTGTGGGGGTAGCCCTAGTGCAAGTGTTAAGAATAATTGTGCCCAGAGTTCTTCTTTAAATCCAATTCAATTTGGCATGATTCCAGCATTCATAAATGTAAACTACTGGATAAGCTACGCAATAGTTAAAAAAAAACTGCTTTATTCAAATGCTCCCTCAATTTTTGACATAATCAGCAGGGAACAGGCCCCAATAAAATGAATGACCACACCAAGACTGTAGGGACTTCATGTTCATCGGGGTCTGAAGAGACCACAGGTGCTTTGCTTTCTGCTCATATGGAAAAAGGAAAACAATGGGCCAACCAGACATTTCCCAAGTTGCTCTATTGTGAAGATACTAACATAAGCTCCCTGCCTCATTTTACAATTCTACAGTAAACACATTTAAGGCTACAAAAGGAGCTGTTTAAAATTGTTATCCAGTTAGTAAGTTAGCATCAGATCCGTCTGTCAAGATAGTAATATAACAATTCTCAGGTTCTTTATATGACACAAAGCCATGTGACTCTAATGTGACACCCATCCATCAGAAGAATTGAGGAAAATATGTTATAAATGTGACATTCAATATGGATCATTGATGCTGTGCTTCATTTAGAACCTTTAGTAATTTTAAATAATAGTTTTGTGGAAGAAAGATTCTGAATTTGTCACAGAGAGAGATTTATAGACATGCAAAAATGTAACATTCAAATAGCACAGCAAAGATATAGGATTACTGAAAGGTAAAACAAATAACTTATTTTACCAACCAAGGTGAGATTATCAAAGGGTGCAAATATATTCACATTTTCTTAGTTTTATCTGTTGTGGAATTGGACAATAACCAGACACTAAAGAACATTAATCATCAAATTCATCATAGCTAACTTTTTACCTAAATCTAACTATGGAAACAGAGATGGCTATGTGTCAATGATACCAAAAAGATATGGAAAAAAGAAATGTCATGTGACAGTCAGAAGTATGCCAGAACTCTGTACTTGTCTGGGGCAGTACTGCTGAGGCCATAGTGGCCCACTGCATCATAACAATAGTCGTACTCAAAGTAGTGTGGTTATATGTACACAATGGACGCCAGCCTGCAGCATTTTAACATGCAGCCTGGTGTGAATGAGCCCTTATTGTATGTTTTTTATGTTAAAAGCAATTCAGATGTTGCCAGTAAGCAACAAAATTATATTGAACTACAATACCTAAATATTACTAAATTATGAATACCTATTTTGATGAGTTATTTGTGGGAATGCAACAGCATATACTGATAATTTGTCTTTTGAGCTGTAGATGGCGATGTAGTGCAATGTTAGTTTTCGATATGCAATCTTATCTATGATACATGAGAAACTGTTTTCCTATCTATATGTTTCCTGCACAATGCTGTATACACAGATGTAATATCCTCCTAAGCAAGTCAAACATTACCCAGCATTCTTCAAGATCTCAGTGCTTCATCTAAACACATAACCAACATTATTCCCCCTAATTACAATTATAATATCTGTAGTCTAGATATAAGCAGGAGTATGTACATCCCACTACAACAGTGCAGCAGCACATTTCTAGGTAACATAGATTATTACAATTGGTAGGACAGATTGTCAGCATATTTAAACAGGCCAATTTGTTAAAGATTGGATGGCCCTCCTGACAAACAGCAGAGTCTGGTAACTTTTAACACATTCCATTTCCTTTCCACAATATGTCCATGGCCTTATACAATTTTCACATTATTTTTCAATCTCCCAAGAAAACCTATGTTTTATGACACGAAGAACCATTGGATTGATATTAGGCCTACAGGTGTCTAATTACCGTATTTGCCGGCGTATAAGACGAGTTTTTAGACTTAAAAACATCCCCCGAATATCGGAGGTCGTCTTATACGCCGGGTATGGATGTGCGGTAATACTGTATGTACAGTAGCTTTGGCTACATACAGTATAACGCACTGAGCCAATCATGGCAGGCTTTGTATTGATGAATACAAAGCCTGTATTCATCAATACAAAGTCTGCAGTGATTGGCTCAGTGTGGTATACTGTATGTAGCCGAAGCTACCGTACATACAGTATTACCGCACATAGGCCACGCCTACTATAGTTCTGAGGACGTGGATCACAACTGCGGAGGGTGATGTATGTATCTGGAGTAGGCTACTCAGGCATGAGTCCCTGACGTCACTCTCAATCTCAGCGGAGAGTTAGGGACTCTAGCATCACAGCCACACTCAAAGTAATATACTGTTTCAGGCAGGGATATTAAGTCATACCTCCTTACCCCAATTCACAGTAGTTAGTATAAAGTCAGTAAGGATTAGCGTAGGTAACAAGGAATGATAACGTTAAACTGGAGCCCAGTCTGCATGGAGTATGTAGATCAAACAATAATTGAGAAATTCCTCACAGGAGGTATCAGCAACAGTCCACACATGTAAATTGCTTGTATGTAACAGTCAAGGATGGGCTGTTAGCACCAGGTTACTTGCGGTTTTGGATGTAGCAGGAGCAGAGTGTCTCTCCAGAGTTGTAGGAGTAAAGTCCAGTTCCTGATAGGAGTCAAGTGAGTCTAGAGCTGGTGTGGTTCCCAGGAGATAGCAGGCGTTCTGACTTCAATAGTGGAACGCCATGCTATCTCAGCTGGAGCTTTAAATTGGGGCAGGAACTGGGAGGTGCTGCCGGCCGGAACAGAGCGATTTCCCCGTTCCAGCATGGAACGCAGCCTGTGACGTGACAGATTGGAAGCCGAGCGGCTTCCACGTTCCACAGTGGACCGCAGAGTAACGGAATCATGTTCTATGGCCAGAGGATGCCGACGGTTACTGTTACAACATCCAGCTGACAGATTAGCCTCCCTGGCGGTCTGATTATTAAATTTTTTCGTTTTTTGTTCTATTTTTTTAAAATTTAAAATTGCCGCCGGTTCCTCGTCCCTGTGAAGCGGACGCTCGCAAGGGACGGTACCCGAAAGATGGAGGACACAGCGAGGATCGTGGACAAGGTAAGAGACTGTAATCCCGAGTGTGGCTCGGGGTTACCGCGTATGGTACTGAAAATTAGCCCCGAGCCACACTCGGGAATACCGCCATGGAGGTTAGTGGGTGTATTTAAACATTATTTTGGGCTATACTCGTCTTATACGACGAGTATAGCCCAAAACCTATGTTTTAACAGAAAACGTAGGGGGTCGTCTTATACGCTGAGTCGTCTTATACGGCAGCAAATATGGTATGTATCTTTATTATAGTCGGGTTTAATTCTTTGTCACATTTTAACAAATCTCAAAAGGGACTCTTTCACTTTTTCCATTTAAGAATTGACACCTCCACTCACATATTCAGTACTTACCTTTGCCATATTCCACCATCACTCCATTGCCCCGTTGGAGCATGTGACCTCTTTCCAGGAGGCAGTGCTTGGACCTGAGTGGCCAAAGGCTGGACCCAAACACGGTCATGTGAATATGGGAAAAAAGTCAATAACCATGTATAAGCTCTGACACCATTGGGTACAGAACTTATGCAGGGTTTAGACTCCTGACTCCAAAGGACGAACAGATTAGGAGGGGAGTGTGACGAGTTGTATCAGTGGGTTGGGGTTGTACTTTTAAAAGTCATGAGTAGATGTGGCCAATTTTTCTTATGTCTGCAGCAGGTAACCTCATCTGGAACAGATTTGGGCATCCACAGTGATGGATTTTTAAGATAGATTTGGCATATAATTTGTAAATACATGCATAGGATTGCATCTTCTATTCCAGTGGATGAAAATTGGGTGGGGAAAATGGCTAGAAATCCTTCTCTGTCTCTAGTGTGGGTATAGGCACCTTCATACAGTAAATAACCTGCATGGACAAGAACCACTTTTGGCAAGCTAATGCTAGCTATACACATAAGGAGAAACAAGATCAACCATAGATTTGAGGGCTTTAAATGATCTCGAAAATTATCATATATATTGACACTAAAATGAAAGGTTGATTTGGCTGAATTCCATTTTCTGCTATTATGGCTCAATGCTTTTCAATGAAAACTTGTGTTCCAAAATGTTTGTGCATTTTTAGTGCAGTCAATATCTGGAGGGTCTTTTCATTGAAGAGATGTAAGGCCAGCATAGATAACAGGACTGCAAGAAATCTTCAGTATACAGAGTATTATTAAACAGACCATTCAATAAACATTTTCCATCACTTACCAAATGAGAAGGAAGGAACCAGAAAATACAAGGACAGCAGAAGGTCTTGGAAGAATGTGTATCTCTTCATAATTCCTGAAAAAAAGGCAAATGTAAATTATTGTTTTACATATCATTTCCATGAATTTAACTGATTATTTTATGATGTTAATGGTAATGAATACCATATTTTTTACAGCATGTAAATTAAATCAACAAAAGGGGCATTTTTATCATATAGAAATAACCAAAATCATAAATGAAAGTAAAACTCTGAATCTGCCATTGCTGATCTGCAAATGATATACGTCTGTCATCCTGGCTGTAACAACAGGTCACTAACCTGGAACAAGCATGCATCAGTGAATCTTGAAAAGTATACTTTCTAGTCCAAGATGTTAATCCTAGATCAGTGAGTCACCAGATAATAAAACCAGAAACAAGAAGATGGTACACGAGACTCTTTACAAGGGAAGCTACCATAAGATTATTCCTATACCCATAGGTTTGCTTTCAGTAGGCAATTAAAACAGCAATACATGGGTTCCATTGTTTTATGAAAACAAAAGAATTTGTTAAAGATTTTCATATTGCTTAATTCTCTAATAACCCAGATACATGTAGTGATATTTTAAGTAAACCTGTGTTTTGTCCATGCAGGACAAGACAGCTGGTTCACTGTAAAGCCCCCTTCCCCAGCAGCAGATATTTTTTTTTGTAATATATTCTTTATTTAATATTTTTACAACAACATAAAAAGGATACACTATAACATAGGTTACACAAAAAAAGAGAACACACATCAACCTGGAACAGCTTTTTGATTCTCACATTTCATTATATTGAGTACAATTAAATAAATGGGGTCAGAGGTGATATACAATATAGCTTCTATTCCCATTTCAAGTTTTATTTCATATTCTGTCCCCTTTTTCTGATGGGAGACCGTGAAGTGATCATCTATTGCCCACACTCTAAGCCCTAACCAATTCATTTCAGATATCCCGGGCAGCAACCATTCACCCAATATCCACACACCTCCACAAGCCAATACAGGGCTGAGGGCTTTCCATGACCCCATGAGACAGCATTGGGACAATCACTAAGCACCAACACAGTCACATGAAGTAATTCACATGCTGCTCCATAATTGGATGTACCGTGCATTTTCTTCACTCCAACAGCTGAATCAAATTGCAATGGTGTGAGGGGAAAGTAATTATGTGCTCCTGGACTTGAAGACATAACAGCAAACCTGTTGATTTGCCCTGCACGGGTAACACCACAGAATGAAAGTTGCACTTACAGCATCACTAATTATTTTGGAAAGAATAGTGGTAAAAATTGGGGGGGAAACACTTAAAAAATATGTTATCCCTTAGATACACACAACATAAAAAATACTGGGAAAAAATGCAACAAAGAAAAGCCTTGTTCATCTGCTTAAAGTGACACTAAACTCAGGAGTAAAATCTTTTTATTTTTGTCTTTGTCCTAGCTAAGGAGATCCCCTCTGTCTCTAAGACAAGTGAAGGAAACGGCAATTAAAACACATTTTATTGTAGATCACAGAAGGGTCAGAACTATTTCAGGTTTCATTGCTGGATGCACTGTCATTTGAGAGCCTACCCTTCACCTCCTGCCGCAAAAAGGATACATTCAGCATTAGGAAACTAAGGTTTTAACTTGATTGGGGTCTAACCCTTCCCCATTATCAAAACTAAAACAAAAATTGGCTAGAGATAGGCTTTAGACACACGTATAACCAGGGCTGCAACCATCTAATTGATTAATCGATAATAATTGACAATGAGAATAGATGTCAACTATGCTCATTATCGATTAGTTGGTCTGAGTCCCCTAGTTCTCTCCAGCCAGTGTTTCATTGGTTCTGTGTCCCCTCCGAACCCCACTGCTCCTACCGGGTATCAGAGAGAACACAGACCCCTGCAGCCAGTGCCCAGCAGTGAGGAGAGCTCCACCAAACCTCCCCAAACTCCCCCCACCCTCACCACATCAGCAATGCAGTTTTCTCCTCTACGCTGGGAGCCCGCTGCATGCTGTGGTCTCTGCCCCCCCCCCCCCCC